TCAAAGGTCTTCTTTGTTATTGAGCTTTAAAACAAATTGATAACAACTCTATATTAAGGATGAAATAATCAAGGCATTCAGATGTATCTTTTATTGAAAAGTGACTTTTAATAAAAGTTCAAACAAGTTCTGCCAATATCGTGCGTAACGGAAAATAAATAAATATAGCCTATATTACGCAAGCCATAATATAATAAACAAAAAACCCATGTTATTCAGCTGTAGACCTACATATAGTCGGATAAAATAAAACATAATAATTATTATTTGTTCACAAACTAAAAGAGTATAGGCCCGTCGTGAGCATTTTAATAAAGGCTCGCAGCTGCCGACTTGTTATCAAATAGCCTTTAAACAAATTGTAACACAAACTCTTTGACAAAACTAGAGCAAAATGCCTAGCTTATGATGTTTTAGCCTACTTTCTACGCTTTTTCAGACCTGTGAAGTGGGTAGCTGCGGATTTAAAATCAAAGGTCCCGAGTGTCTCTCCACAACTGGCAATGCGCATGAGCCGTGTCACCTTGTTCTCGCCAAGCCGACTTCGCTGCGCTGTTTTGATTCTGTTCTGTAGAGAGAATCCTCTCTCTGCCGGCACACTGGAGACAGGGATCACGCATGCTATCTTGGCCAGTGTGGCCCACTCAGGATAGATGTTGCCTAAATCTCTTACGAGGACTTCGCAAGCCGTTAAGAAATGCAAGCCTCCGTATCCGCGGAGCGCTGTCATCACGGGGATGGCATCTCTGTGGGCGCTTGTGGCATCAATGAGAGGGGCACTGGCTTGCGCTGAGTCATCCTCACTGGCAATCCCTTGGCCAAAATGACCAATAATGGTTTTGAGGGCTGGTTCAGCGTATATTTGAAGCGCTGAAGGGACGGAGAAATAATGAATTGTTTTATGTAACGCAAATAAACACATTTAAATAACTTGTGACACAATTTTAGGGAGGCCTATACTTACCACTTTGTGCATTTGGGTATCGGGATGGGTTCAGAAGGACGTCAAAGCTAGTGATAATACTCAGGGACTCTTCAGGAAAGCGGTTGTGTAAAGCATCTATAAGATGTGTAATGTAGCGTACGCGGACATTACTGAAAGCCTGCCGGGACCGGTCATCTGCGTGTGTCACATTCACATCCCTGTACATGCCATTTTGGCAATCTGCCTGAAACCTCTCTTCTTCGGGACCGGGGGAATCCCTCAACTGTGTGAGTGCCGCAACTGATGCGTGAACCATTGGTCGGATTGTGGCCAGATTGACATCCTCTTTCTGGAAAACCAAATTAAGTTTGGTCATAACAGGTAGCACATCAGCCAGTGCGTGAGTCCAGGCGATAAAGCAGTATGGCTGGATTTGACCAAGGATGCCTTTTGCTTGGGCATTTCCTCCAACAGCCTCTTCATGTAGCTCCATCACCAGAGCAGGCCAGTTTAGCTTGATACCCTCCACTGCCCTGTGCAAGGATAACCAGCGGACAGCGCACTGCTGCTTTAGGCTTTTCACATCTTCATCCCCGAGCGCTGCTGTCATTTGACGGAGGCGATTGGTCCTGCTGGCTGAGTGCTTGTAAAATGAGTACACAGAGGATACTGTGCGCTTGTAAACTCCTACTTGGTCCACAGCTTTTGCAGCATCTAGCGCGGCCAGCGCAACTCGGTGGGCAACACAGTGCACCTGAATGCAAAACGCACTCTCTCTCTTCAGAAGAGCACCAACTCCAGCACGTTTGCCCATCATTACACTAGCCCCGTCTGAGCCCAGGCCAATGACGCTTGACAGTTTCACATCCCTCTCGCGGAGCACCTCATCCACCTTGTCAAATATGCACTGTGCTGTCCCGGAGTGCACGTCATAGTTTCCCAAAAAACACGTCTCCACTTTTCCTTTAATTTGCAACTTGACGTATATTATCAGCTTTTTGTCCACAGTGATATTAACCGTCTCGTCGATGATTATTCCGATAAAGTCACTCTTCTTTAGTTTTTCGTCCAGCTGCTTAATCAGGACTTCATCTATGGCCTTTTCCATGTCATCAACGGAATCACTGTGCCGGTAAATTCCATCACCTGTGACAAAATCAGGAGCCTTCACTTCTCGTAGTAGCTCAGTCAACCCTGCATACTGATTACCTGCAATGTCGTTTTTAGCCATGTGAAACACTACTTTTAGCTGAGAACATAGCTTCATGTTGGAAGCTTCATTCGCCCTCTCGCAGTGGCCTTTCATTGCGGTTTGTTGTGGTATTGTGTTCACTGACAAAATGTGCTCATTGCTCTGACTGTGTTCAATAAGCGCAGAGGTTCTCATATTTGTTGCTCCTTTGGTGAACCCGTTCTTTCTCCCCGACTTCTCGCAGTGTGAGCAGAACAGAATTTCTTGCCCATCTATAATGTCGCACCTCAGCCAGGTGAATGTATCTTTCCATTCGGGTCTGAACGCGCGGGATCTTTGTTTTTTTCTGTCCGGGGCCAAGGCATCTACGGTCTCATTGACAGCAGGCGGTATCGCCATCTCATTGTCGGTATTATCATCATTAGACCTGCTTGGTTTAAAGAAATAATTTTTAAGCTTAGCTTGTTTTGCCATGTCCGATTTTTCTCATCTCTCTGTCGTCCTGTTGTTATTGTGCGCCCACTTTATCTTACTGAATGAAACAAATGTAACGGGTTCGTTCCACATTACGCCGTGGCCTACAGTGCGCTTGCCTATTAACACAAAAGATAATTTAATTTAAACAAACAAAAACAAAAATCTATTTATTGTTTATTTGAATACACTTTATATTGCGCTAAGGGCAAAATATTTTTACCGGACATGTTGACCGGAGAGATTTAGGTTTGCCGGACTTCCGCATATTTTACCGGTCATTGTCCGGTAATTACCGGCTAACGGGAACTCTGGTCATGACGTCACCGTTTACATCGCTGATTTTCTCCCCAACGGAGCGCGCAACAACAACGGGCCGGGGTCTGCGTCGGGTCGATGATCGTGTTGCTTTTAATCATACGAAGCCAGATTAAATTAAATAACGACTTCTCCAACCTTATACTTTTCTCCAGAGTGCCGTGGTTCATTGTTTATTAATGTGTTTCAGCGGCATTTAGCGACCGCTGCAGTGCTGGCTGCTCTTCCACGGGAGTTTATTCTCCCGTTAGCTCCGGGTTAGCTCACACGGCTCTAAAGTATTCACTGTCTGGCTGTCACACAAGCAGCTGATACATATCCCCAGTTCCCCTTAAGTGAATGTGTGTCAGTCTGAATTGACGCTGTTTGGCATCACAACGCTGTTATGAAAGTTTCTCTGGTATAACATTAGCATAGCAACCGAAGCTAAACTGACTACTTGCTCTGATCTCTCTCGCGTCCGGTTATACTTCACTCGCGTTTATGTCCAAATCTATCAGATCTAGCTAGTTCTAGTTAATTATATGACTGCCTGCGTGTCAAAGGACCTAAACAATAAGCGTTGCTTGGCAACGGCTTGTGGCTGCAAAGTATAGTGCAGCATTATGCATTTGTTTATATGAGGGGTCAAAATCCCATGCTCATAAAATGCTCATATTTTTTTTCTCTTCATTCCCCACGCGCCAAAATAAATAAATAAATAAATATACCAATTTTAGGAAAAGTTACGAAGTTTGAGCAGTGTGGGTTTTATATTAACAGAGTTACACATATTTCAAAACGCGAAGTGTAATAACTGCAGTTTGCCTCCCTGTCAGAATGACAAAGATCCTCAGTGAAGCACAAGCCCATGTTTCTCACTAAATTGTAAGTACAACTTATTAAAAAGATCAGTTCAATGCAACTAATGTCGTCTTAGTGTTATTGCATGATGTTAAAATTGGTTTGCCATGCATTTAGTGATGGATTGTAAACATTTGAAATGTAGCATTTAAGTGTTTCTCAGTTACAAGGTTGTTGTTTTAATAAATCAGACACTGATGGTGCAAGGCTCAGGCTGTACTGTACCTCTTTATATAGGAATTTTTTCCCTAACAAATAGTTTTTGCGCTGATCAGGGGGTACTTGGCTGAATTTTTTTTTCAAAGGGGGTACATTATTGAAAAAAGTTTGAGAACCACTGCTCTAACGGATATAAGAAGAAGATGTTTCTATAATAATGTGGAGGGAGAGTCCTCTCCAGTCAGACTGAGAGGCTCAGTGAGGTAAAGGACTCTGAGTGTTTAGATAGTTCACTTTAGTCTAAGTTATCTCAGTGGGTCTCAAACGTTTTGATCACAATTTATGTAAACACATATTTCCAAGGCGCTCCTTTATAAGTATTGGGATAAATAAATACAGGTTTGAAATCATTTGTATACTACAGTATATCAATGTATACTATAGGACAGTAAACCAAAAATATCGTTTGAAACTGGAGAGATACAAAAATATGCATAAATAAATAATTGTTAACTGGTATAAGATATGAATGAACAACACAAATAAAATAAGTTACATTTATTTGTTATTGGCTATGGTAGGTTATTGGTTATGTTCACATACTTATTTGATTATTAAAATGTAAACCGATCTTTTTCATATGGATGTTTAAAGTTGTACCCCCTAGATCTAGTAGTAATTCTGCTCAAAGTGCACCAGATTGAAGCATTTTACTTTAAAATGTTAAAACATTTCTTCCCGGGGGGGCATACCCCCGGACCCCTCAGAGGATGTGACGTCCATTCCCCAATTCAAACATGTTCATACAATACTGAATACATTTGAAGCCTTGTTGATGCACATTACCTATGCCTATCAATAAGTTTCTGTTTTTGTAGTGTATTTGTCTTTTGTAGAGATTTTTCATTTATTCTTTATATTTCTATTGTGTATTCCTTGGATACTCTATTGATCTTTATCTTTTCTACTGTACGATTCTCTGGAGGGGGGGGCGCCAGTTAAAATCTCGCCTCGAGCAGCCAATTGTCTAGAGCCGGCCCTGTATTAACCTACATTTCACCACTGCCTCTTTTTGCACGAGCTCGTGGGCAGGGCTGTAATTTTGAAAGTCCTTATGTAAATAGGTTGCGCGAGCCTTCTGAAGCTCACACACCGTCAGGAGGAAGTCCGCTCGACCAGGGATTCGGTCGCTGTTGTGAGAGGGCGCTTCGCTTTTCTGACCCCAATGTTTGGCAGCAATGAGGTGAATGAGAAACACTCGTCTGAGGTTTTGAACAGCGTAAAAAGGTAAGCGTTCACTCTTGACTGTCTTTTCTCGGGGAAAAGGGAGAAGTTGTGTTCGCTAGACTACCTGTTGGGGTCTGTGAGGGAGGGTCAGGTGGACCTCATTCATGCCCGGAAGCATGTCCTTTGGCGGGCAGGTGAGCAGTCTCAGCGGCCTCCCTTCCAACTTTTCTTTGTTACCTGGCAATCCTCCATGTATACTTTTTAAATCTGTATGGAAAGAAGACGAGTCACTCTTCAGGGACATAGACATGAGTCGGTCGTCATTGGGGATTGATATCAAACAAACACACCTCGTTTCACACCTCCACCTCTGGAAGCTGGAACAGAAGTTGCCACTGTAAAGTTTGTAAACGTGTTGTGTAATGTCTGCTACATGCCGAATGAAAGAGCAACTCCCTTTGACTCACTTTTAGTTTTTTTAGATGCAATATTACTCATATTTCCCGATACGCAGTATCATATTATGTGCATGTTTTGTTTTTTTAATGGAGTTAGGTCTGGTGAAGCACGTCACATTTAAGCTGTGTTATTGCAGTGAGTTGCTTTTTCAGGTACCGTCTACAAAGGACACATTTTTGGAGAAATAACCTTCTGTTATAGTTAGTGTAAGTTTAATAGTACACGTTCACTTACTCTGGATACAGTTGAAACGTTTTGGGGGATATTTCTTACTTTAAAACGGTATGTCCCCACATAAATTGCAGCATGTTGCAAACCCACAGGTATTGTTTATGTGGCTACAGCGTGCACACGCTTGAACACTAAACTGGCAACCAACAGTTTGAAGTCCACTGCAACTGTAGATATGATTTTGTTCTCCTCTAAGCCTTAGTCTTGCATCAAACTGAAGAAACCACAACTGTGAAATAGTTTCAGGAAATAGCTTCTTGTTCTGACAAGACAGGGCTGTGAGGTAATTGCTTAACTCGTCCCACTGACTGAAGAAAAACAACAAAAGTCATAAAACGTTTTTATGACTGTTTTTATTATCTGTTTATTTTCACATGATTGTTTAGCATTTTAGTCTTGGAAAGGTGCTTTTTATTATCTATCCATCTATTTTCTGCAGACAAATCATTGCTTGTTCATCATTACTAAAATACGAAGAATCCGGTCAGAGATGAAATAAGTATTCAGATGCTAGACCACATAGACCACAGTCTAAAAATACTCTATTGTGCGGTAAAGTCCAATATGTTACTTAAGGTAACAAAAATAAAAGTATGCATTGTAAGAATTGCTTTTTCAAAACTGTTGTTTATTATACAATATTATATGTTAACGTTTCTTTATTTTTTAAATAATTGAATTTGTCAATGTGGGGCACATATGTACTGGAAGACCTGGAACATAAATATATATACACAGATCATGTTATTTATGTAAAAAGTTACTAGTAACCACTATCAAAAGGACAAGAATTTCATGCGAAATATAGTGGAATAGAAGTTCAGGTACCTCAAAATTCAACTTAAGTACACTAACTGAGTCATGTACTTTGTTACTTTCCAATGGATCCAGCCTGCACAACTGTTGTCATCATTTGAAAATGCTACCATCAGGTATTTGTATGTCTGGTATTTTGGAAAACCTGTGTCTTTTTGTTTATTCAAAATGTGCTGACGTCATTGGGGAATGAAAGAAGAAATACAGTCATCTGTATCTGGCATAGTTTACCTGCAGTACTGTACATGTGTCAGCCTGCAGCCAACCTGTAATAAGCTCTCATCTTTTTCCAGCCCTAGCCTACTTATTTGTGGCAGTACCATCCCAAATGTATTTTTTTCCAGTTCGTGTTTCAGTGTACACGTACAGGATCGATTATTACACAGCTCTAACACTACTTTTCTCTTTAGGCTCATGCACAATACATATCAATTGTCTTTCCTGTGAGATATGTATCATTTTAGGCACTTTCATCACATGCGCATTTGTCATCAGTATTAGTCCTATAAGTGACTTGTGAATTATGATGTGATGAATGTCGTACTGTATTATTTTATTTAGACCATACATTGCAGACAAATCTTGTCCTTTTAATCAAACAGTCCAATTAAAGATTCTGGGCTAAAGAAAAACATTTAAAAAATGTTGTGCAACAAAAAACAGAACAATGATAAAAACAGGGGAAATACACCCAACACATACTTAGAAATCAATTAAACTTGACATGCACGTAAATAATAACATCTTGCATTTACTGTGACAGTAATTATTGTTATTTGTAGTTGTAACATTTCAGAACCCTTTACCATATTCACCTTTATGTCTTCCGTTAAATATCGTTTGTTATAAATAATACCATAGTTTACCTGGTATTTTGTGTCACTGCTTTTTTTTCATGCAATTTACTTTTTTGTTTTGCAGCCTGGTTGTTCAAAGTTGTACATGCACTGTTGGTTCCTTTCTTTATTCTGGCCATCTCACTGAATTTCTACTTGCGTAAGAGAGGCATATTGGTCACTCAAATGTGTGAGGTTTGCGAGAGGGGGACGAGGTTGTGTGTAGAAAGGAAGGAAGCTCCAGCTCAGTCCCCTTGAACTGTCTGGCTCTGCTTCACAGCCTTCACATGGCCAAGGCTGGCAGTAAGGACGTTCTCTGAGATGGACTTAAATTGTCAAGTAAAACAGGATCATATTTTCAAACAAGATTTGATGGGATTGTAGATCCCACATTTAGAAATTGTATTGCAGCAGATTTGAAATGCTATAAAGAGGCCATTGATTGTAAGAAAATATGAAATACCATCCCTCTAACATCGCATGATTACATTGTATTGCTGAACGATAATTCTTGAGTTAATCAATTCAATCCTCTGAAATGGGTGCCTTTCACTGGATTAACTGCAGATAAAAAGATCCATATCACACATGAAATAGCCCCACGCACTCTATTAATCAATGGTTATCTTTCCTTCATGACACATTTATCTCAAAACTATTTATCGAGACAATGCTGGAGGCTTTTAAAGGGCTGTTATATCCTTCTTGTAACATTTGATTGCAGATATAGGCACACCTTTTTATATGGAAAATGACTACTTGAGGACTAGGCAGCATCTTGGTGTACTAAAATGAAATGTTGCGTTTACAAATGTGTAAATAGTGATCAGCAGTTAAAATGAATGTTATGGACCACTCGGATGTGTCCCCCTTGATGTATCAGTTAGAAGACTACACTGTTTCACAGGAGTGGACTGTTAATGTTTAATCTTTAGTCATTTTACAGTCAAATCAAGGATCCAATGTTGCTAAATGAAACTGTAGTAGCACTGTACACGGGGTTATTGTGGTCATTTTGTCTGTTGAGGTTAATATGGCTATTTAGAGACTTTATTAATGTGGTGGGTCTTTGTTGAAAGACTGAGCAGTGTTTCCATGAGCAGACCTGTTTGTGTCATAAAGATCTGGATCTGGCTAGCTCTTGCATTTGTTTTGAAAGGAAGTGATACTGTAGGAAGATGCGACCAATATTTTTTTAATTGTTTCCCTTTTAAACACAGCTGTTTGCTGGCTAATACATAAACGTTGCTAGAGCCACCAACGTAAATGCAGTATATAGATGTAAAACCTAGACTTGTATTTCATAAATAAAATGTACATTTTTCATCAAGGAGCTCAATTTGATTTTTTTCTAATCCCACACATGACCAGCCAAAGATGTCATTTGGACGTGCTGACTGTCCCTTTTTAAGATGTGTTTTGTTCTTTCTCTCTGTTCTGATCCTGTCCAATCGATATTGATAGGTTGGCTAGAACTGACTGCAGCAGGCTTCCAAAATGCTTCCAAAATAATTAAAACCTTTTTCAAATCTTTTTTGTTTTTAGAATGTTAACATGATCATTGAGGGGTCATGGACCCATTGACATTTGACCTAATTTCTGTTTCTTGGTTTATGAAGTTATTGATTGTATAGAATCTAATTTGATTGTAAGATGCTCAGACATGAGTGTTGAGAAGTGAAACAGCTAAGCCTATATAATGAGGACAAATATGTTGGTCCTTTACACACTCATGCTGGTTAACTGGTTTGTCTTGTGTAGGCAATGGTGGATAAATCACATTCCAGTTTCAAACAGGAACCACAGACAGGTGCTCCCTTCAGGGCTCCTTTTCTTCAATGAAATGGGCGGTACTTAATATGCAAGTGAGTCATGGTTTCAGTTTAACATTTATTTAGAGAATCTGGAATGATACAGTAAATGGTATGAAAAAGCTTGAACAATAATTGTGATTGCCGTATAAGGTTGTCTTAATCTAATGAAAGGGTTCAACAGGACATGACTCTGGATTCAATTGAATACAAGAGGATGTTGATTATAGCAGCTTGTGCTTTAAGGTCCTTACACACCAAGCCGATTTTCAGAGTCGATGGATGTCGGGCCGTCGATGAGTGTCGTGTCGCCCTACTCAGATTGGTGTGTCTTGGTGTGTACTGCACCGTCGTGTCTTTTCGGCCGTGCCGACACCTTCCGCCGCCGATTCGACATGTTGAATCGGGAGGCTGTCGGCCAAAGGCTGTCGGTCAAATAAATCACTCTGATTGGCTGTTCAGCTAGCGAATCAGTGCATGAGAAGCGAAACGGAAGTGAGGGACCCAAACAAACTATTAAGAAGGCAAATCTGAGATTTCATTTAACTCCAGCTCTCGACACGGGTTCGGGAAAGCCCCATGAGCTTCTCGCTGTAGAGTGAAAATGGAACGCACACGCTATTTGTTGTTTGTTTATATCACGCAGTCTGTTCTTCTTCTCTCGGTGTATCACGCAGTCTGTCTTCCGGTTGTTGCCTCTTTTGAATGATGAATACACACTACCGCCGCCTGCTGGTAAGGAGAGTTATTGCCACTCACGCATGCGCAGTTCGTACGTGCAACTTGGTCGTCGGCTGAAGTCTTTGCGGTGTGCGAAACATGGCCAAGACGCAGGAGACGTGAGGCGACGTTCCGTCGGGACGTGTTCTTTGGTGTTCTTTGGTGTCAGTTTGGTGTGTAAGGACCT